AGCTATTACCGCACATCAATATAGATTTATTTGTCTAATTTGAATGAATTTCCCCTTTAACTATTTTTGCGCTTATCTAAAAATACTAAATGGTTTTGATATTTAAATGTATTAACCTTACTCAGTCATTTAGTGCAGTTAAACTTCTTATTTGTATTACACTATTATTTTGTACTATATATATTAAGGAATAAAAAAAAACTCCCACAGTTGATTTTCACATATCCAAAAAGTTTTTATGAAACACAATACAAAATGCTGCCATGTGGAGCATTGCCCTTAAAAGAGAAATTTCATTTCATTTTTCACTGGCTAACTGGTTAGTTGGCTCAAAATGTTTTTGGGGTCGTGCTGTTGCTTAATGTTTTCATTATACTCTATAAAAAAAACTATTTAATAATATATGAAATCCTTGTAACATTATTTATTTCCTCAATCTTTGAAAATTTTAAATATATAATTCTTATATATACAATTATCATATTTAATTAAATTGTTTAAAATGTTTAATATATATACCATTTTAAAATAATTTATGTTTTTGTTTAACAAAATTTAATTGACGTAAAATAATTAAAACAATAAAGAATATTGCCAATATTTTAAAATGAACAGTTCCAAGTATTATTTAAAAACAAATATAGTTGAAAAAATTTGGGGTTTTTTTTTTTTTAATTTTAAACGCATTTTGTAGTCGGTCAGTTTCAACTGTTTATGTTTGGCTCGCTGGCCCCCCCATAAGCTCTCGATGGTGTTGTAAAATGTAATCATTGTGGCATGTAATTAGTTTTTGTGAGTGTGCCAACTCCCACAAGTGGGTGTGTGGGTGTAAGCGTATGTGTGTGCGTGTGTAAGTGTAATATTTGCACGAGTATAAATAAAATGTAGTATTGTATTAACGTGTGAAACAGGCACAAATACACACACACACACACACACCATGTAAATGGGTAGTCTTGTGTTATGCAATAAACAGATTACCCAAAACTCTGGCTATTTTGTATTACTTTGCGAAAAGCCACAAATATTGTATAAGTTTCAGAAGCTACAATAAGACAAACTTTGCAGAATTAATGCATTGAAAAATTAAAAGTAAAACTAGTTTATAAAACTACACTTTTTTGTTTTATATATGACAGATTTTATTTCAATAAACTTTATTACATTCATATAGAATTCGACACAGAAATTGGGATTGTTGAACATTCTAAATACAAAATTGTAAATTGAATATTCTCAGAAAAAAGTATATGTAAAATATGTAATAATAAAATATACAGCTTTATTTAAAATAACCGTAATTAAAAAGAAATTTTAACCAAATTTCAACTATTTTGAAATTTACGAAGTATAAACAAAATATTTCCCTATAGAATTTCACGTAAATATCAATTTATTACAGCCATTTCTCTCCTCCTTTCTAAGCTCTTTCTATAATAAGTTTTAGGCATTGAGGTAACAGTTTTATATAAGATAAATGCAAGATATGTTTTATATACATATAAACTTTATTTTCAAATAAATGAAGAAAATTACATTAAACTATACAAACTTTTTTTTTGTTACTAATTCTTAGTTTTACAACTAAGTGACTAACAAATAGAAAGCAAAAAGTAATAATTAGTAAAAAGAAAATATTACACGATACAATCACATCTATTAAAGTAATTCCAGCTACCTTTTGTAAGGTAATTTGGACATTAGGATAACAGTTTTATACATTCCATTAGAAACCATTTCCAAAGAGCTCTCTAATTGAGCTCGTATAGCCGCTAGTAACCCGTGGTTGTGGCAGTGCAGCGAAGCATGATTAACTGACCGTTGTTTCAATCCGCATACCACACGTCGTATACGAAATAATAATTTACACACTATTGTGGCTGTTGTTGTTGTTGTTGTCGATGACATTGCAACAATCAGTAATCAATTTACAATTTAGTTGTGTCTGCCTGTGTGTGCGTCTGTCTGCATGTGTTCTGGGCGTGTGTGTGTGTGTGTACATTGATTGGTGGTTGTGCAGAGGTTCCTCAATCTAAACACACTAGCACACGTACAGCTGTCTATGTATATGTATGCGTGTATGTGTATTTCCTGTTGTTGCTGTGGAGCAATTGATTTGTTGGTCGATTTGGTCGTCGTCAGCGTCCCATCAATGTCCAAAGGAAATGCCACGCAATTTGTTTGTTCGCGCTCGCAGGCCACAAATATTGTGAAATTAACTTGTTAAAATAGCGGTGCCGCCAGTGGGTTGGGCCTGGCTGTTGATAAATGACAAAAGATTTGCGATATCCCGCCAACTGTGTGGAGCGGGCGCTCGGAGTTCTGTGAGTGTTAATGGCCATAGAATAATATTGACTAGCCCATTGGATTTGGAAGGGCTGGGTATGCTTTTGTATTTTCTGTAGACTGAACCAGTTGGAAATGTATATTTTGGGTATATTGTTTCCGTGCGAATGTATTTAATGAGCCGACGGAAGCATAGAAAGCTCCTAATGTACTATTAAATATGTATAAAGTATAAACGTATAAAGTCTTTAACACATCTAGTGTGACTGTCCGTGATCCATCCTTTTAAGAATTAGATTTCATCGCTTAATTTTTAATTGTCGTTTCTAAATTTCATTGCTATTTAAATTTCTTCCAAGTGAATCCTCTAAGTTTTCTCTAAGGACTTCCCCCAAGCATTTCTTCTGAGTATTTACTTTAAAAATTTCCTCTTGGTATTTCATCTACGAGTTTTTTTAAGCATTTCCTCTTAAGAATTTCTTCAAACTATTTCCTTTAATTGTATCCTCTAAATATTTCTTCCAATTGTTTCCTCGAAGTATTTTCTCTAAAGATTTCCATAGTCTTTGTTGCTTAGCTGAACAATCCATTTCATTGGCAGCAGTTTCTCCATTTCTATAGTTCTCTTTAGGTCTAGGACTTCTGCTTTATTCCATCCCATACAATGAGTATGGTCAATGGATTTATTATCAATAGGATGGACTACTTTCAAGTAGCCAGCTAGAAATAGGCTATACTGGCACAACGACTTTTGAGTGCATATTTGTATTTGTAATTAATAAGTAAAAAAGAAAAGAGTATTCCATAGTGGAGTACACTGTTCGCAGCACATAGCCCTGAGTACAATACTAAGTAGACATACTTAGCGTTCATTATTAGATACAACAATTAATTATAAAGTACACGCCGGCACTTAGCTCGCAGTTTTCCCCTTGATGCTGGCTCACCTAAGCGGAGAGTAGCATAGAATGGCCTTTGATCTGATGCAATTGACTTGGCTTTAACCTGTGCTCATTGACCAGTCAACTGACATGCGTCCGCTGCACTCTGTGCGCCCCACTCTTAATGTGTTCGACATTTTCCCATTTCCTCGCCCCTTTTTTTTCACTCTTTGCTGTAGTTTATCACCAAAGTGCACGCAACAGCAGCCATGCCAAAGACGTTGCCAAGTGGCATACGCGGCGTATGACTTATCTGGCCATGCCACAGCTTGCGGTTCGCATTTAAAGTTTAAGTGGCGCAAAATCAGCACCAGTAGAGCTCTGTGTGCAAAGCAGCGACTCAGCTGCAAAGGACTTCATTTGCAACATCAATCGCAACCTCATCCTGCCAGCGCCTGATGCCCTCCCAGCGACGGCCGCCCTGCAGTTGCCTGCCTGCCTGCCTACTGGCCATGTGGATGCTCTCATTTCGTTGATGGCAGCGACCGCGTTGGCTGCGTGTTTAATAAAGCGTATGGCAGCAACCGGATGCCACGGAATGGCAGCCTGGATTCTAGTGCCCAGAAGGCGGCCATTGGCTGGGTTTAATTAGCTTTAATGGCTTAATGCAGGGCATTTGAGCCGTCCTGAGTGGCTGGGCATGCAAAAATGACAGCTGCTAAGTAAACGTGCTGCTCTCGCCACTGCTGGCCGAGTCGACCTCCGCTTTCTGTTGCAGATGTAGGAGCGATGACAGCATCATGAGATGCAATTTCCGCATCGTGACAAGCTTTGGCCATCATCACAGATCCAATTCTAGCATACGATTTGCTTAAATCCTTGCAGCATAATATTTCATAAAAGCATTAATATTCTATAAAGTTCCACAATTCAAATATATCTGATTTGATTCAAAAACCTGGAAATATAGAGAACCAAAAACTTTTCCTGAACCAGTTCATTTCATTACCCCACTACTACTGTATGTAAACTTAAATCCTCAACTAAGTTTTGAATTGGTTCAATATAAATATGTTTTTATTTTGTCAGCTGTTACTTTACTTGACGGAGTTGCAACTTCGTAAACAGTCAATGGAGATATGCGGGTTGTAGAGGCGATGCGTCTGGCTGTGGAGCCTCAGCTGCTTGCCGAAAATGAATTGACTTTGAACCCGTGAACGCACTAAAAATGGCAGCTCAGGGTATATTGATTTTATGAAAACGTATGCTACAGCCAAATGCAGGAATGGCAGACCCGATGGCCTAAGCCCCAAATTCAGCACTGTAAATTCCTATTCCTTATTGTTTACCGTATTATCGATATTAATCGATAAGTTTATTTAGTTTATAACATTTACGTACTCCGAGTAGTAGAGCCTTTGCTTTTCTAAATACCCCCATCTAAAAAATGAACGCATCGCATAACATAATATTGATGAAGATGCTAGATAGAATTGTGCTCGTTAAGCGAGGGTACACTGTAAAAGAGTAAAGTGTGCTTATGTGTTGCTTGTTCAAGTGTAGAATGATTAAAGTAGCAGTGTGTAGAGTATGTCCAAGTCAGGTACACCTGACTATGGGAGCAGTAACAGCAGCCACGCGAATATTGTGTAAATATAATTATATTTAGACTTGTATGCGTTTCTTACCTAATTTAACTGAGGTGACAAAACAGGGTCGTCGCTGAAGAATAGGGTTATGTTGGTAAAAATATGAATATCGTAAATATTTATATAAGACTTATATTTGGATATTTATTTTTAATAGTTATTTGTTCAAGTGCGTTCGAGGATACTTATAAAAAGGCAAAATTTTCCAATGGGTCTCAGTTTCGATCTACTCTTTCAGCCGTAAAAGAAGGAAATTTGTAGCCATGAAGCTGGCTACCAACTTTTTAATAGGTAACAACATATATATTTAGGTTTTAGGCGATTGGTATCGTTATCTATTGTTGCATTTCCAGTGGGCTTGCTCCTTATGGGACATGCCGATCCTAGTGCCTCAGTTCCGTCTTGTGGATGTCCACCACCAACAACACCACGTTGTCCACCAACAACAACACCTCCTTGCCCACCACCAACAACACCTTGT